TACAAAAACAAGAAATTCTATTATTATCTCACTTCCCAGCTGGCTCTCTTATCTCTTCACGATGAAGCCCGATCCATTGCTGAGGATCCCAACCATCTCGTGCACAAACTTTTCTCCCCCCCCTGCGCTCTGCCCAGCAGTACCGCACTATTAAATCACAGGCTGCCAGGTTTAAGAACAGCTTCCACCCTCCTGCAGTGCGAGTCATAACCAGCTAACTGTGCAATGCCTCAGAAATCAAAGCACCTCTGCACTCTGCACTTTTGACTGAGACTAGCTTGTATTTATGGTTTTATGTATTGTCTGCACATACTGTCATGATTTATTTATTATGATCTGTTTTTTAATTGGCAGTCCTATTGTGTGCTGTCCTGAGAGAACGGCACAAGTAAGAATCACAAGGTATGTGTACATATGGCAAGTAAACTTCTCTATTTTTGCTTAACAACCTTTCTAGAATGAGTTTGCAGAGCAGACGTCAGCCAAGCTGGAGAGTATTCATTTAGAATTTAATGACGGGCTCCGTCGTCTCCTCCTCTCTTACCACGGCTCAGTCTTGCCCCCAGGCTGCTGGTGGAAAATGATGTGTCTTTTCAGGAGTCCAGCCAGCAGCGGCTGTTTGCTCAGACCCAGCGGGGTGGCAGCTCACGGAGTGATCTTTCCCAAGCCCGTGACATTTCTCAAGGGACGTGATCGTTAAACATTTACTGCCTGGTGGGTTTGGAGCTGTGCAATGCGGAGAAACAGGAAAATGATACAGAACTTTCGGAATTCTGCATTTAAAGGTTTCTAGTTCAAGTGGTTTTAATGGATCTTAAATTCTAACACTGTATATCATATTGTCTGTCTGTGTGGAGTTTGCATGTTCTCCCAGTGTGCGTGTGGGTTTCCTCCAGGTGCTCCGGTTTTCTTTCACGATGGGAAGTTACCCGACTTAAAATCAGCTAGTGTGTGTGTTTGTCAGTGTCTGTCTGCTCTGTGATGGACTGGCGTCCTGTCCAGGGTGTAGCCTGCCCTGTGTCCATTACTTGCTGGCACAGACTCTGGTTCCCCTGTGACCCTGAACTGGAAGAAGTGGATGAAAACTGGAGGATGGATGACGGACGTACACCATGATCCAGTAGGGTCAAGCATGGTGGAGGCTGATTGTGCAAATAAAGTACAATCACAGGAGAACTGGCTGCAGATCTGTTTTGCCCATGCCCACCGGATGGAGCAATGCCTTTTCCACCAGGCTGCAAGCTCTTCAGAGGCTGATCTGGCAGCTTGGGGCTGCCTGGTGCGTCACCTAGAGAACTCTTGGTGGCTACATCACCCCCCATCCCTGTGATCTCTGCCAGTTGTCTAACATCATGCATTTCGAATCTCGGAAAAGCTTTGGATTAGCCACTTAAGGAGATCATATGCTGTAACATAGAAATCCTGACAAATCATAGCGGAAGCCCTCTGGTTGCTCACATTTCATCCAGCTAGTCATCCTATACAAACTCTTCTCCAGCACTGCCTTCTGCGGACCCCCGAACTTTTATTTTTGCAACTGTCTCTTGCTTTTTACATCCCAATGGATTTAGGTTTCATTTTCATTCCACGCGTAGCGCCTTGGAATATAGTTATTGCCACCTTTCCGGAAGGTCGTCTCAGATGGAGGCATTAGCCAACGGAATAAATAATAAACGAGAAATCGACGGCATTACAAAACGCATCAACCCTTGCGGAAATACTGAAATATTTACAGAAAGAGTGCAAGGGGGCTCGCAAAATCAATACCTGGTAAATTAAGAGGTGGCGAGGGGGGCGTCTGGAAAATGTCGCTGCCCGACAAAAAAGGGGGTGGAAGAAACGGAAGAGCAGGAATCGAAGAGACTCCTCTGTTCCCAGAATGCCATGGAGGGGCCACTCCTCTGGGTCCAGACCGGGACACTGAGAATCCGAGACCCAGGCTTCGTCTCCGACTGCGTCAACCCTGCTGATGGATCACTGGCTCCTGCCATCACCCCCAGGTGCGGCTGTTCATCAGTCAAAGACAATTATCTGGCCCTTCCAACGGCCGCCGTCCAATCAGTAGGAAATGGCACCCTGATAGATGGCGTGATTTCCAATTTGTTCCCATTTGGTATTCAGATCGCACTGCTCCCCACCCCACACACCTCCAGCTTCCCCCCGTATGTGAGAGATCACGGAATGTCAATG